TTCTTTCTTCTTTCTATTATTTAGATATCTTGTTAGTTAAAATATATCTATTAAATAGAACAGTTATAGTTTAAAAAAATAGTAAACTAGCATGTTTAAGCATTTCATAGCTTATGCCTAAGAGGCCACAAGCTTTATTATTTAGAAGTTTTGCAAGTATATTAGAGATTTTTTCTTCAAAAAATTCTGCTAGTACCTCTTGATACTATTCTGAGTAAATGTTTGTTTTAGGTCAATATTCATTGTTTCAAGAAGGATTGTAAATTTGTTGATTAATTTGTTTATATGCTGTTTATTGATTGAAGTATTGTTGAATATGTGTTTTAATTTTCTGTACTTCTGTAATAATATAATGATCTGTTTTAATGTTGTCAAACTTTATAAGATCTTTGTAGTGATTTAATATGCTGTTAATCATTAATTTTGGTTAAGACTGAAGTTTATTACATCTTTTGGCTATGTTTTCATTAATTTGTTATCTAATTATTTTAATATTTTCAATATTATATGTATGATAAAATGCTTTTTACTCATCATTAGCATTTGAAATCCAGTCAGTTAGTAGGTCATGTCTGGTTAGTAAAGAAGGAATAGTAAGATTATTAGCATTATTTAGTTGTTGAATTATGTTGTTAAGTTGTATAAATATAGGTGTTTGATTTCATAATGAGGCTTTAATTTGTTAGATTATATTTCCTAGCTTTTTAAGCCTATGATGTAAAAAGGAAGCTTTGGCAAAATATATGTGTTGAAAGTTACACATTGTGACTTTTTTGTTAGGAATATGTTTGAGAGCAGTTAAGATAACACTGGTTTGGATTTTGTGCTATGTTGTTTCCAAGGATTCTATTGTATTAACAGTTGTAGGTATATAGTTAAAACTAAGATTAGTAGCTACTTGATCAGTATATAATTGCCAAGGTTCTTCATTCATTTTTTTGTAGAAAAATGTTCTTTTTCTAGTTTTGGTTGCAGAACATCATTTGTTAGAATGAGCATAGGGAAAGGACCAAGAGGAAATTAGAATTTTATGGTTACTATTTGTGCTAGTTTTGGAGTCATCAGTATTGTATGAAGTGAGGTAGTGGATAATTAAATAGTTTGCCCAGATGTAATCAATTTGGCTTTGAAATCGACTGCTTTGCCAAGTATTAGATAGTGATTGAGTATGGGCAGCTAGGTCATACATGTTGTTGTATTGAAGAAAATGCAGTAATTTGTATTTTATAGAAGAGGAATGTAAACTATTGTTAGGGGCATTAAAGTCTCCCAGAATAATAGGTTGTAAGTTTGAACTTATGGCTTGTTGGAGCCATGAAATAACAATATTTTGAATAGTTAATCTGAATTGGATATCATCACAAGGTAGATATACTGATATAATATGAAATTTGAAGTCATGTTTAAAGAAAAGACCAATAGCAATAGCATAACCAGAAAGGTTGTGTATTTTGTGAATATGTGGTTTGAGTCAGTTATTAATTATAATTGCAGTACCAGCTTTTGGGCTATTGCTGCATGACCAGTAGTATGTAGAATGTTTGGATTTTTGCAGTTTTGTTATTGCATTTGTGTTAGTTATTTTGGTTTCAGTAATGCTAATTATATTAAGATTGTTGTTAGACAGAAGTTCTCCCACATTTGTTGTTTAAGGTCTTCATTGTAGTCTTGAACATTGTGGATACTTATTAATAGCTCAAGAGGTTTAATAACAGGAGTAGATTGTAAATTTTCATTTATTGAGTTGGAGAGCTGAGATGTGATTGTATATCCAGGGAAAAGTATGTTATTTGTGTTTATGGCTTTGAAGTATTTAGAGGTTTTGCATTTGCTTTGTGATTTGAATTTAGTATTAGTAGATGCATAATCAACAATTTGAGAGTTAGGTTGGGATTTAAGGAGTATATTGAGAAAATCATTAGTAGAAGGAATATAATGGTTTGGTGGAATAGTAAGCTCATGTGATAAATAAATGTGGGCTTCTATTTTGTCTGTTTTTAGTGTTATTATTAAAGAATTTAATAAATGTGTAGAGTTGATTTGTTGTAAATATTGAAGGAAAGTTTTTATAGTAGGTTGGAGGTGTAGTAGAGGAAGATGATGATATTGGAGAAATTTGTTATAGCAGGTGTCCAAATCATAAGAGTTTAATGATGTTGATAATAATTTAGGTTGTGTATCTTCTGTAAGGTCACTCACTGTTTTAAGCTCAGTTCTCACAGCTGTGAAAAGTGCTATAGCCTGCCCAGTACATTGGGTCTGACTGTCAATATCTTGGTTCTCTGCATAAATGAACTTATCCACCTATCCACTTACATCATTCTCTTCTAAGAATAGTCTACTGAATGTAGAGAACATCATTATCTTAAAAACAGTGGCTGGCTAATTTATATATTGGCATTTATAAATAATACTTTCTATATAAAATAAATTACTGTTATATATGTTTTTGAAGATATATTTTCAATAGTATATGTATCTGCTATAAGTCAGCAATAGATTTGATGTATAAGAATTATACAGTTTCTGCTTAATTTGTAAAATTCTTGGTTCTACAATTTTACATTACAACTAAAATAATTATTATTAATTTTTATATAAAACTGTGTTTTATAATCATCAGTAGGTTTATACCATCTTACAAAAGCAAGATGATATGTTTGATTGCTAGAAAAAAGATAAATAGTATGATCAAAATAGAATTGAACTTGATCAGGATATAAATCTACTGTTTCATTTTTTAAAGCAACAAATTTTGACAGAATTCTTGAAGATTTAGTATGATAAGCTAAGAATATAAATCCAAAAATTTCTGATTCTAACTTTAACCATCCATATTGATTAATGATAGGAGATACAGATATCTGACCAATTGTATCTATATCTCCAAGTTTAACAAATTGATAATCTATTACTATGTTATTAAGTATTTAACTAAAAGATCTAATATATTAAATGGTAACATAGCATTTTCTATTTTTGGATCAAGGAATATACTAGGAAATGGTTCATCACCAAAAGCTTCTCTTTTATTAATAAGGTTTCTTGATTTATAAAATTTAAAAAGATCTTGTGATTCAAATTTATTTGAAATGTCTATACTGTCACTTATTTTTTTTTCTTTAATATTTTTAAAAAATTAGATAATCTATTATTATTTTCTGCATGTGATACAATTTGGTCTAAACAGTTATTTGCAAGAATAATTCTTATAAGTTCTGGTTCTATATTCCTATAACTACTTTTATATAAGTCTACAAAAGATAATTATAAATATTATTACAAAAAAATGATGCTGCATATAAGTTATAGTTATAATATTCCTGATATTTATCTAATATTCCATTTATGTACTCAAAAAAAAACACCAAAATGAATATAATAAACTATAATCTATACAATTTTTACATAAATATAAACTTAAATAGATATTAAAAGTAATTTTGTCAGAACTATAATAGCATTCTATTAACTTTGCTATATTTAATAATCTTTGATATGCTTCATTAAGTGTTTTCTTATTTAATATTCTGCAAACTAACAGATTACATAGTTTGACAAAGTTTGCAAGAATATGTTAGTCTGGTTCTGTTATTAAATCTCAAGTAATTGTAGTAGCATATATCATTATAAATGTTCGCTACTGGTCTGCAGTGTATCTAGAAAATCCTTCTTCTGTGGCAATTTTATAAAGAATTCTCCTAATATCTGATAGAAGCTGTAATTTTTTTGCCCTTTTATCTATAAGTTTTAGACTATTAAAACTTAATTTTTTATCTTTTACCCATAGCTGTATAACAATCTATTTTATAATTCCTAAAAATAAACAATGCATTGGGTTTACAATTACATGTCTAACTGAATTAAAATAGATAAGACAAAAAGTTCTGACTATCTAACAAAGTGTTTGGATAGGTGTTTTTTTCTTTGATCCTCAGTCTTGTACTGTAACTATGCATATACATTAATTTTAATTTCATAATCTTACACTTCACAAACCAATCATCTATATCTACAAATTCACCAAAGTTAGATTGATGTCTAGTATCAACTATACATGTTTTTTATGTTGACAACATACAATTCTTGCTCATATTTGTTCATATAACTTTTTAGCTGCCAGAATATTACATGGTTAGCATATAACAGCACATTTAATATTTTTTGTATCCATAAGTAATTCATTTGTAGTAATTTCTATTCCATTCCACAATTCAAGTAATTAATTAACTAAAGGTTAAGATAATAATTAATATGATATAATTTAACTTTTTTTTTAGCTCTGTTAATAATACAAAGGTGATTATATTTTAAGGCTTGAATTTGAGTTTATGGGGCAAATTGCAAATAACTGCATATATTATTCTAGTAAAATATATAGAATTTTGAAAAGAAATAAACTAGTCTAAATTAATCATAAGATCTAAATATGTATAAGCATGCTCAGTTGTAAAGAAATTTAATCTTGATTTTTAAATGTTTTTATATATTAACTTTATAGATATCAGCAAGATAATTATTATTTATTTTTCTATTAACTTATTTTTGCATAATGCTTTAAATCCTTTTTGGCTGTTTAATAACTGGAGTTGATTTTTAATATTTATTATTAGATAAGAAAGCAAAGAATAATACAATATTCCATCTTTTGTAGATACTTTCTTTGCTAATAGTTAATTACAAGGTTGTTTTATTTTAAATATTGGGTAATTAAAATATTTTATAAAGGTACAATGAAGACATATTGAAATTTGACTAGGCTTTTTTGTTATTATGTCATTATAGTTGTATAATTTATTATATGCTAGACATGTTGCATAATTATTTATATATAGATCTAATTCCATTAACTTTCAGACTAAATAGAGTAATTTAGAAAAGTTTGTAAACTAATCTTGATCAAGATAAGTCAATAGATAATAAATAAATTTAAATAAAGAATCTGTTGCAATGTCTGGTAACTGATATCTTTGTTGGTATTTTAAGATCCAAATTAATATTCAACTAAACCTTTCATTATAATTTCCAATATCTTTAAATATTTCTTCTTTGTTACTTTTGATATTGAGAGTTGAATAGTCTAACATGATATCCTTATCATCACTTTTAGGTTTTATTTTTATAACTTCATTATTATAACCTGAGGTAGCTAAATTCTCTTTAACTAAATCAATATATAGTTGTTTTCTTAGCTTTTTTTTTTCTTTTATCTTTTGTAATTACAAGAAATAATTCTTTTTAAAAACTAATATCCATTAAACTAAGAGTAGAAATACTAATTGAGGTGCTACTGCTTTCTATTTATGAATTAGTGAAAGAAGAAATATCAGGTTAAGGTTTTACAGAACTTACAAATTTCTCACAAATTCTATCTCTTTCAATATAAATATCTTTTGTTTGGAGATCACAGAATTTACTTTTATCTTTGCATACTTTATATATACAAATAGCTTTTTTTTATGTTTTTGATGCAGATAACTTAATAAACATTTGATGACTCATTTTTAAAATGTGTTTTAGAAGTTACAGTGTTTAATATAATGAGCTAAAACAGACAAAAGGTCTTTAAATACAAAATTATGTATATATTTTAGTAATATATTTTTTATTTACAATTTCATTATAATTTTTTATGATAAATAAAATCTCTTTAATACAATAAAGTCCAATCTGTAAAAACAAAGAGAAGTACAAAAATAATGCATTAAGTTATTTAATAAATTACTTTTTATATCTTCTTGAGCAACCTCTTATAATAACAAAACTTATTTTTTTAAAAAACAATTTTTTTTTTTTTTTTTTTAGTTTTTAAAAGAGAGGTCTATCCTCTATCTCTTTATTAATTAGTTAATTTATATATATAAGATACATGCAAAAGAAACTAATCTAGGGGAGATGAGGTAAGAGCTACTTTACTCTCAACTTATTCTTTGCTAAAATGGTCAATAGACCTCTAGTCTATGATAAGATGGCTAAGAGAGGATTATCTACAAGTAATATAATAATGAATTTTTTTATTTAATATAGAAGATAGGATTAGTTTAGTTTTAGTAGTATTGGAGTTTGTAGTAGTGATGGAGTTGGTCTTAAGAAGTCATGTTGTATCATTTGAGAGGGAAGCCAAAATTGTTTGTATATTGCAGAGATAATATTGTAATGTATAAGAGGAGCATGTTTGTATTTATGTTTGTTATTTTCAAATAGTGCCAAGGTGTTGCCAGCTATTAAATCTAATGGTATTTGTTTGTCAATATGGTTTGAAATAAAAGCTTGAATAAAATTATTTATCTTGTAACAAGGTATTTCTAAATTGTTTGCTGCTTTATATACTGCCTGTGTTATTAATGTTGTAAAACATAAATGGTTTCCAATACAATCTAAAAGATGTACAATAGTTACTGGAGCACTATAGCATCTTGGACAGAGATAGTTTGGATGTTTAGTAGCATTCCTCCAGTAAAGCAAGAGATGTATAGGTAGTTCTTTTGATAATAGTTTGATTTTAAAGTTTTTTAGTGCTGAAGAGAAAGGATCTGTTGTTAGAGCTAAAGGTTTTTCTTCATATGAAATATATTGTAGAGATAATGACTAGTTGATATTATTTTGCGAAGTATGCCAATGTAAGATACACTGTTGATAAAACCAGGCTAGTTTATTTGTAATTTGGTGTATTTATTTTGTTGTAGTTTTTAGTAGATATGTGCAAAGGTTGCCAAGAAGTTTTGGGACAAATCGATTATATAAAAACTTTTGTGGTATAGAGTCTAGTTGAAAGATGTTTTTAGTTTCTTGAATCTGGAGTTCTTTGTCCAAGATTGCTGAGATTGTATGATTGCATGTTATTGCTTTTAATACTAAAATAAGGTAGGTGTATTGTTGCTTGTCAAGTGCAGGGTAGTTGTGCGATTGGGTAAATTGTACAAGGTTAATTAAATTAACTAGTAAAGAATTGTTGGTATATATTTTTATGTTAGTGTAAGGATTCATTGAGGTTAATACAAATGTTAGCAAAGTTAATAAGGTGTTTAAATGAGAGGGCCAAAGGTTTGTAAAGCAACCAAAGTTGGTATTAAAATTTGAAGTTGACACTTTGCTACTATGTAAGAGTTATTCTCTATATTTTGTTGGCAACTAGTTATGTATAATGTTATATTTTTTTTATTAAAGTTGGTCTCTGTTAAAGTGTTCCAAAGTGGTATCAGAAGATTGGCAAAAGAGCAGAGGGGTCTAGCTAAGGTTGAGTGTGTTTCTTGGTTAAGAAGCTGATGTGTTGCCACCAGCATTAAGGTTAATGCCTTTTTGAAATCATTTAAATCAATATGGATTTTCTTTTTGCAATCTACTTGAAGGTTGTAGATTGTTTTTGTTGCTTTAAAGTAATAATATTTAGATGACTAAGTTTGTCTTTAAGTTTACATCTTTAATATGCTATCAGCATGTTATTAGGATGTAAAATGTATTGTCGAACTTTTAGAGTTTTGTTAAGGGGGTTATATATTTTTCTAAAAGTTATATCCTTTATAATTATTCAGCCTTTTTTGTTAGGTGTCTAGTTGCTTATATTATAAGGATTTAATTGTGAAAATGCTAATGATGGATTTGTAGATGCAATTATTAGATCTTGCATTAGGTGAAACCAGTGGAGGCATTGGCCTCGAGATATTTTTTGATATTGTAATGAAAATTATTCTATGTTAAAAGTTCTGTATTGGTTGCATTTAAGAATTGTTTTATGCTTGTAATATTGTAGTTGTTTAACTTTTCTTTAAAATATGAAGCTTTAGGATAGTTTAAGAGAATTTGGTTTATAGGCATGCCTGAAAATTTCTTTAGATGTGGCCAGTTGTCAGCATCTCATGAGGTTAGCATTCCTAATGCATATAAAGCTATTATCACCTGACATGTTTGTGTATTTATTTGTGTTAGTAGAAATACTGGGAGTTGTATCAATATTGAAATGTTTGTAAGTGCTGCATCTTGTAGTTGCTGTAATCGTAGTTTCAAAAATAAGGAGTACAGTTGGAGTGGTTTAGGTTTTTTTGTAGTGTTAAAACTAGTGCTGAAGTTAGTACTTGAGCTAAGTCTGTCAATATATAAATATCTGGATTGAATAGAAATGAGTTTGGGACTCCTCGTGCCAATTTTGCCTTATGTTTTACCAGTTGAATGCATGCTTTGTTAAGAGAATTTATTTGTGAAGAAAAAGGAATGAGGAGTATAGCCAATAGGTAAAACGTGGAGTAATAACACTGTTTATGATATATATTGCTTGTTTTCTGTTATATTAGCAAATTGCAGTTTTTATAGATTGATCTTCACTTCTGCTATTATTTCTTTTTATTTCAGTATTGGCTTTTTGTTGGTTGAGAACTATACTTTCAAGTATTTAAAAGGTGTTTCATGTTTTATTGCAATCAATTGTTCATCATCAAAAGTTATAGAGTTATCCAGATTTGAAGAATTTGTAACTAAAGTAGATTTAGATGAATTGACTTTTATGTTAGCAAATTTGTAAAAAGAGAAGGCAGTATGCAAAATGTTTGTAAGAGATGTTTTGTTTAGTGTGATCCATAATAAGTTATTCATGTATGCCATTACAGAAGTATGTATTTTTTTCATGCTTGAAGGAGGAATTCCACTAGTAAATCCCTGGTGTTCTTTATATATTCGTGATATTAATGGGTCATAATATATTTTCTATAGAAGAAGAGAAATTGTCTTTCCTTAGTTCATCTCATCTTCTACTAAATATGGTGCAGTTAGGCCTAAGGTAGTAATTATTCTATTGGTTTGGTATGAAAGCAAATATAATAGCTTGTTTATAGCTTTGTCTGGAATGTGGATTTTTTTGAAAGCCTTGGATAAAGTAGGTATGTGAATCAAATCAAAAGCTTTTGACATGTTTTGGAAGAGAATCCAGAATTCCTTATTATTTGTAGTTGCATCTTCAAGAATTTGGGTAAGTTGTGAGATTGGTTGTAATATTGATTGATATAGAAAAGCTGCAAAATTGTAAAGTGATAGTACTTGGTTACAGGTTAGAATATTTGTAAGTCAGTTTGTTATTATTTTTGTGAAGATTTTTCTAGTATGATCAATTAGTGTAATAGGATGAGTAGAATTAAGTTCATAGTTGTAGTGTTGTTTTTTTGGAATTGGCCAAATGTTGGCTTGTAGCCACTGATTAGAGATAATTTCTTGTGTTAAACAACTGTTGAATATATTTAAAAGAAAAGAGAGTGCTGATAGAAATAGGTATTGGAGAACTTTATTTGCAATTCCTGAAGGTCCAGTTGCTCTCTTTTTGGGTGCTGCTTTTATCGTTTGCTCTAGTTCTGTTATTGCAATAGGAGATAGGAGGTTGTTGTATATATTCTTTTGAATATTGTTAAGTGAAAAGTAGGTTGCTTCCTATTCCTTTCAATTGTTTTTGTTAGGGGGGTTATTTCTAGTTCATTTTTTAAAATATTGTCATGTTTCTTCTTTAATTTTATTTCCTTCTGTAATTATTTCATCTGATAGAATGATTTTTTTGAAACTAATTGGTTCTGCTCTTCTTTTTAGTATGCTATCTAACATGTAACTAGTGTTGTCTTTAAAATCTGAGTATCTATAGTTTGTATAGAATTTAATTCATTCACTTTGCTCTTGTCTTTTTTTGAAATTTTATGCCTGCCTGATTGTATGTTTATAGTGTTTAATTTGTGCAATCAACTCAGAAGATGAGGAGTTTAGTTGTGTTTGCATCATAAGAGGGATATCGATTTCTGCTGATTTAGCTGCTTTTGACAGATGATAGTTAATTTCTGTTAGGTTGTTTGATAGGTTATTGCCAAGGTATTGTAAACATTTGTTAACATGTTTTAAAGCTGAATGCAATTTGGTAGCTTTTAATGAAAGTGTGAAGAAAGGCTTTGATGTTGTAAATGTATATGTGATATATTTGTTAATTGTTTCTTTGGTTTTTGCTAACCAAAAGTTCCAGGTCCTATTTATCTCATCTTTGTCTATGTTAAATACAGGAGTAGCTTGCATATTGAAGATGTTATTTATTGCATTTTCAAAATTGCTCCAGTCTTCCAGTGTCATTCTGTTGAATAAGTAAATTTTTCTTTTTTTCTTTTTATTTCTGAGATTTTTTTGTAGTATAAAGTTAATGTACCA